CCGTCGTCGGTGGCGGCGCCACAGCCGACACCCCCTCCTCCACAAAGCCTGAACCTCCTCTCGCAGTCTCAGCTCCAGCCACAGCCTCTGGCACAGGCTGGAGCGCAAATGAAGAAGAAAAGTGGCTTCCAGATTACCAGCGTGACCCCCGCTCAGATATCGGCCAGCATGAGCTCCAACAACAGCATAGCCGAGGATACGGAAAGCTACGATGACCTGGATGAGTCCCACACCGAAGACCTGTCCTCTTCAGAAATCCTGGACGTTTCTTTATCCAGGGCCACTGACTTGGGAGAGCCGGAGCGCAGCTCCTCTGAAGAGACTTTAAATAACTTCCAAGAGGCAGAGACTCCTGGGGCTGTTTCTCCAAACCAGCCTCATCTTCCTCAGCAGCACCCTCCTCTGCCACATCACCCGCAGCAAAGTGTTGTGATCAATGGGAATGTTCACCCTCATCACGTTCACCACCACCACCATCTTCACCACCACCATCATGGACACCATCATCCATCGCATCCTGGGGTGGGCAGTGCACCGATTTCTGGAGGACCTCCCCCCAGCCCATCATTTAGAAAACTCTCAACAACTGGAAGCTCTGACAATGTTATATCAACTGCACCAGTTTCTGCTGCATCATCCACTGGGTCCCCTGCATCTGTCATGTCTAATATCCGCACTACAAGTACTCCTGGCAATTTAGGTGTAAGTCCTGCTACTGGAACTAGTACCTTAAATAATATGAGTGCTGGTAGTTCTAGTGTGGCAAGCAGCATGCTTGGTACTATAAATTTAAGTAACATCCCAAGTACTGGTAATGTAAATGCTTTGTCTGGAACTAGCAGCAATGTTAATGTGAATATCTTGAGTGGTGTTGGCAATGGTACGAGTGCTTCCTCTAATGTCATTAACAATGTTACTAATCCAACTGCAGGAATGGCGGTGGGATCGAGCCAGCAGCAGCCCGCAGCTGGCACGTCGAGGTTTAGAGTTGTAAAATTAGATTCTAGTTCTGAACCTTTCAAAAAAGGTAGATGGACTTGCACTGAATTCTATGATAAAGAAAACACTGTTGCAGTTACAGAAGGAGTAGCAGTAAACAAAGCAGTAGAGACGATAAAACAAAACCCGCTTGAAGTGACTTCTGAAAGGGAGAGCACCAGTGGGAGTTCTGTTAGCAGCAATGTAAGCACACTGAGTCACTATACAGAAAGTGTGGGAAGCGGAGAAATGGGAGCACCTACCGTGGTGCAGCAGCAAGCGTTTCAAGGTGTGGGTCCGCAGCAGATGGATTTTAGCGGCGCTGCTCCTCCGGCAATCCCAGCATCCAGCTTACCGCAGAGCGTTTCTCAATCGCAGCTTGCACAAGTGCAGCTGCATTCTCAAGAAGTCAGCTATCCGCAGCAGAAGCCAGGGGTCCAGCCTCCTGCACAGGCCAGTCTAACCACTGT